CCCAAAGTGCTGGGATTACAGGCTTGAGCCACCACGCCCGGCCAGACAGGGCATTTTTTAAAATAAAAATATTGTTATTAATTCCTGAAGACATCATGGTCTCACTTGAACCTCATAGCTTTTCACAGAGGGAAAAAACTGTAGGCTTGCAGCTGGAGCAAGGTTAGAGGTAGGATGCAGAGTCAGGTCGGCCTGGTATTTAAGTATGGCCCCTCCCAGAAGAACGGCAAGAGCAAAGGCTTAGCGGTGGGAAAGGCACAAGGAGTTCTCGCTGGCCAAAGCACATGTCAGGCTCTGACGGTTTAACTTCTTAAAATGCAGTACTGCCTCCCAGAACTTCCAGATCAAGGTCAAACTCCTCAGCTCTGCACAGGGGGCCCTAGAGTCAACTTTCTAAGCTAGGAGGGTCATGGATCCCTTTGAGAATACAAAAGACAGTGGGCGCGGTGGCAGTGGCTCATGCCTGTAATCCCAGCATTTTGGGAGGCTGAGGCAGGAGGATCACTTGAGCCCAGGAATTCAAGACCCACCTGGTCAACATAGTGAGACCCCTATTTCTACAAAAAACTTAGCTGAGCATGGTGGCATGTGCCTGTAGTCTCAGCTACTGGGGAGGCTGAGATAGGATGATCCCTGAGCCCGGCAGGTCGAGGCTGCAGTGAGCCAAAATCTCGCCACTGCACTTGAGCCTGGGCTACAGAGACCCTGTCTCAAAACAAACAAACAAAAAAAGAATAAAGATGTTATTGATCTACTCTTGACAAAAATGCTTGTGTGAACATGGACACACACACTCATTGACATTCACATTTCAAGATTTTCATGGACCCTTTCCATGAGACTCTAGTGGTCCATGGACCCCCATGGCTGGAACACTTGCTCTTCCTCATCCCAACCCACATTTCCATGGGGTTGGACTGCCTGCTGCATGAGGACACAGGCCTCATTTGGTGTGTTCATTCACTGCTGTGTATCCCAGCACCCAGAGCAGCACCCGCACCTAAGGGGCACTCAGCATATGTGCAATGAAGAGCCAGCCAGCTGGTTTCACACCTCCCAGTCTTTCTACCTGCTATCCCTTCTTGTGGGAACGACAGATTTCCTTCATTTCTTTCTTTCTTTTTTTTTTTTTTTTTTTTTTTTGACAGATTCCAGCTCTGTTGCCCAGTTTGGAGTACAGTGGCACAATCTCAGCTCACTGCAATGTCTGCCTCCAAGGTTCAAGCAATTCTCATGCCTCAGCCTCCCAAGTAACTGGGATTACAGGCACGAATCACCCCCGGGCTGATTTTTTTTTTTTTCTATTCTTTTCTTTTTTTTTTCTGAGACGGAGTCTTGCTCTGTCGCCCAGGCTGGAGTGCAGTGGC